TTGTTGTTGTTGTTGTTATCGATGTTGATGTTGATGTTGCTGTTGGTGCTGTTTGCTTGGTGCTGTTGTCGCGGCGTGCCGCGTCGCGTGTAGGATTTCTTGCACGGTGAACGACCACGAAGGTCGGGACTTTTATGGAGAGTATCGCCGACACGCGGAAGGATCGCAGGATCAGGATCGATGGCAGGTACTGTTGCATCCGTGCTGCAAGGGGAGTGCGGCGTTATGTGGAGCGGCGTTATGCCAGTCACGCGCTTTAATGGCCGCTTTAATGGTTTATTCTGCTCTAACCCGCGCGATTTTAATCACTCGGCAAATTGTGTAAACAACTGCTAAGTCAGGTGAGGCTAGTGAATATTCGTTCGCGGACAATTTTGCTACTGCCTTTTTGTGTTTGTTGAAATTTTAGCCTCGAACAAAAATTAATCTATAGTTTACTTAGTAAGATATCTTCAGTTAAGATATCGGTTTACATTTCGCCGGCTCCGTCAGCGGGCAGCGACGGTGATGAAAACTGTATATAGTAGATGCCGCGATACATCATCGCCGGTACCTTTTGATGTACATCGTGCCCTGACTGTTTGAGGGTCCCAGCGTCACGTATACAATGTAAGACGCGACAAATAAAACGTCTCCGATTGGTGGACACGACGAACCCAAAAAGGGTATAAAAGAAGCATTTCTTCTTACCGGACTCTCAGTAGAGTTTGATCGCTCGATCGGTTTCGCTCATATACCTTCTCTCAATAAAGGATTAAAATAAAGTCTTCTAAAGCAAAGAATTAGAATCATTTCCATTCCATAATCCCAATAGTGTTCGCCGTTGAAAACGACACGAAAAATTAGCGGATATTGTGCGACGATATTGTGCGACGTTTCAACGCTGCACTTTTCGGTTAATCTTCTAACATGCAATCACGTTTCAAGTGCATCGTACGCTTCCGATGCTACTGTACACATTGACGTGAAAGATTAGTTAACCCTTTGCAGTCGAAGCTGTTTGAATTCGAAATCCAAAACATGATTTCTGATCTACAGTATTTCTATTTTATATAATTTATTGCGATTTATGCATATGAAATTGAGCCTATTGCAGCAAGTACAATGCAATTTTAAGTTTTTTTAAATATATAAACGAGTCTGATGCTCTCAGAATGATTTTAAAAAATAGTATACCAATTTTTAGTGGCGCCTCACACACACAGAGTCGCCATTCGAGTGCAAAGGGTTAATACTGTCAGCGAAATTAGCAACGTGGATGGGAAATTCTTTCGTGTGAATAATGTTGGAGAACAAGTGGTACCTTCGCTGGCATTGAAACTGTACGATGAAAGCGTAACGAAAGTTCGGAGATCAGTTTTTCCACAAACGTGGAAAATTGTTCCAACCGCGTAATTGGATAATTCGTCCAAACTTGTAAAATTTCAAACGCGAAAGAACAATTTCTCGCTTCGTTTTCAAATAGAAAGCCAAGCTTCGAACATTTCTAGCATTTTCGCATTTTCGCAGAGGAAAAAGTTACTTCAAATGACCTCAGGAATCACCCCGTTCCAGGTGTTAACATAATTATGGAACACCCGTACAATAATCAAGCTCGTTCAATTAATGAAACCGAATCTAGAAAGTTACAATTTACCATAGAAATTATATCTGTGTAAAAATTAATTCGAGCCTTTCGTGTTCTAGAATGCTCGGTAATACTTATTACTCAAACCTTGCGGCTCGTTTTTAGAGTCAACAATTGTCAACGACTACAAAAACCGTATAATAATCTTCCTATCAATTAGGAAGAATTTACTATTTCGTGTTCTAGAATGCTCGGTAATACTCGGATTGTTCAATATGGTGCAATAAAAATAAGATCCAAATGGCCCGAACTTTTTGTTTTAGATACTAGACTCTGGTAACTAGAGAGCAACTAGAAAATCAAATAACGCAAGCGTTTCAAAAAGAACTATAACAAAAACTGTGCCCGAACGATCAACTAAATAAAAGTTCCTCTCTTCTTCATCTTCGACATGCTAACGCCATCAGAAATTGATGACCGAGACCCTCGAGTAAACTGGTCTCGAAAAATCTTGATCGGAGATCCGTACAAATGTGTGGCTAGAGTTTTCGGAAAGCTGAGGGATCTTGAAAAATCGCGAACGACGAAATCTAGAAGTCGTGGAAGTACCGGGAATGCGGAGGTGTGACCCGACTGGTACCGTTCCACTTTCGTTTAATCTAAATCATCGGAGCAGAAGGCTCGCGCCAGAAAAGGTTCATCCGTGGGCAAGACGGATGCAGTCACAGGGTTGCGCTCGCGTTCGTGCTGCGCGCCCGCGCGCGCGCTCGCGCGCTCTCTTTCGAGCTGCATGCGTGGCTGCATTCGCGCTCGTACACGGCCCGATCGAAAGAAAAGGAGGAGCCACGGCGTGGTTGCTCGCACGACGGGCGCGCGATGCCCCGGCACAAAAAGTACATTGCATTTATAAGTCATTTATTATGAATTACACGATGGTATATTTAAAATGGGAGGCATGTCTTGTACGTGGATATATGGGATATCGAGATTATAACGCATGCGGCGAAGAGAAACCGGGACTACAACGACCTGGGATACGCGCAACCGGACGTTGCGTTGTCGTGTAGGTGTTCCTCGCGTGCGTACGCACCACCACCACCAGCACCCCTGCCGCCGTGTGTGAGAGAGGGAGGTCTTGCGGGGCCTCTTGTGAATCGTCCGCGCCACGCATGCACGCGCCTACAAATTGGTAGTGCGTAGCCGCACGCTGACTCCTGGATAAAACCTGGAAACCGTTTCCTTTCTTTTTCTCTCACACATATTTTCTGTGCGAGGGGGGAGATCGACGCGCAGCGCGGCACGCTCTCGGGGGTACAAGACCGCGATGCTTTTGTTTATACATTTCTCGGACTGTTCTGTTTTCCTAGCTCGGATTCCATCCGGCCGGCGGTACGTTCAAAACATTCGCTATTTTTTGTTCACAACTGGGATTATCGATCGGTAGCCAATAACCGTGCGTTTTGTTTCTCTTCGGGCATAATTAATTTTGTACTTATCGAACAAGATATGTTCAATCTTTCTGTTTACATAGAATTATTTATTTGCTAAAATTAAACTTTTAACCCCTTGACGTACTATTCTCTTCGCAGTTACTGCGATTAGAAATTTTTCGATTACCATAATTTCTTAAAAGGGGAAGAAAATTGATGCTTATCGTGTGCCTATATTTGATTGAATGCTTAAATATTGATGACAAGAGATTCGAGTTTTATTCAAATTTTAATGGACAGAATAACATATATACTCAATAAGTTTTTACTAGAAATTTTCATGACGAGTCGGACTCGTGAAAGTTCTTACAATACGACAGAGATTATTTCAATTTCTTCATACCGAATTTGCGAGACTTTTTGTAATGCTTGAGAAAATACCGAATGAACGAAGGTCAATATTCGGTAAAATAAATTGTTCTAGGTAAGATGTCGCAATATTAATTGTATTGGTAAAATGTATGAACCCTTTGCACTCGAGTGGTGACTCCGAGGCACCATTAAAATTTATGATGTCACGTTCTAACATAATTTTTACATTAGCAAAAAGTTTAGATTTAAAAAGATCGTCGAGAGCGTAACCGTTGTGCGAGTCGCAAGAATCGATTTCATATGCATAAAATGCGCTTTGTCAAGTTAAATAAAAGTACTATAAGTCAGAAAAATTATTTTGGATTTACAGTTGAAATAGCTTCGAAGGTTATAGGGTTAAGATTACGGAAAAATAAAACAGTGATTTTTTATTCGTTTTTAGTTTCGATTTCAGTGGATTGGTTACTGTGCACAGTAACTGAACCTGCTTCTCGCTCGATGCGTCAGTTACCGTGTTAGTTACTAAAGCAGTCACCTCTGATACGAATTTTTAAATGACGTATCGTGATATTGTATCTTTTCGCGTCGCGTTCTTTCAATCGTTAAAAAGATTCCTCTCTCGAAAAACAGAAAAACCATGTTCGGCGCATGTTTTCTCGGCAGCATAGCCTTCTCTGGATGCAAATGCCGGCGAGGCAACGAGTACGTATTAGCCTCGTAGAGTAAACCATGTCGAAGACGTTCGTATCGAATGAATATTTTTTGATTCTTAATTACTCCATTATGAAGGTAAAACAGAAAGACGCGCAATCATGGGAAGAAGGGAACGAAAGCTCTCGGACGTCACGCAGTACACGGTGTGATAGGCATCGTTAAAAGCTGTATACAATGTGAAATAAAAATCGGCACTGTGAACGGCTAAATTGTGACATTGTCTGCTACGTTCGATCTGATAGCGAGAAACGAATATGCTTTCTAGCAAGCAGGAAGCGTATCGCCGGTAATTTCCAACGATGACTGTCGGGTGATCGACGGGTTCCTCTTTGACCTTGGGCCGATGACGGTGCACTCCTTATCGTCCGGCCAGTCGGTCACAGAATAAGCAATTAATTTGAACAGTTGTACGACGCGCCGGTGAAAAGCTTTCGTCAGGGATAATTAATCGCGAGAAGTCCAGCCGGCGACGAGATTGCCTTTCATGTAAGCGATACCGAGAGGGCTCTAATGCCCGCTATGCTGCTGAGGTATTTATTAACTATTATACTCGACATTGCGTCGCTTGGGTTTCTCTCTCCTCTCGTGTATCTCTCGCCTTCGTGCTACCACCACCACCACCACCCTGCCCCCACGGCCCTCCTCCCTCCCCATCCTTTTTTCCGCGAGCGCCGCAATTATTTACTATTCAACCACGTATTACAGCAGTTTAGACGGAAAGTATCCGACGATAATCATATATTACGCGCGCAAAACGTCTTTCTATTTGTCTATTAAATCTTCGGGACGTCGTCCAGTGAAAGGCAAACGCTTGGCCGTCCAACGACACGGGGATCGCAGATGACTGTGTCACGATGACCGTGCGCCGGAACCTTGCGAACACACGGCGACACGTTTCCGCATCTGAACTGACTCACCTTTCATCCGTCGCACGATCCTGGCATCCTTCGTTGCCATTTACGTTGCCTTTTAGCGATGCCAGCCGGCCTGAAAAACCGGCACACTCGTCGCCGCTGTCCTTTGCGACTCGAACGGAGTGACTCGGCCCACGCGGAACGCCCCTGGATCCTACGTCCACCCTCCTGAAATCCAGAAAGTGACGCGATCTAGTTGTATGTTACTTGTTTCACTAGTTACTTGCAGTTATTTGCAAGATTTTATTCGGACGACCGACAAGGGATCGGGTTTAACGAATCAGATTTTATTCGAATACAAATATCGAATATAAATTTATCCAGATAACAATTCATTCGAATCAAATTTTAATCGACGTTATCGAGCAAATATCCAATCGAATGAAACTTCATCCAGATAACGAATAAGAATTTTTATTTGAATTAGAAATAAATTGTGATACGAATAAGAATTTATTGGTGCAGCGATTAATTCGGAAAATAATCAATTTGAATAGAAATTATACAATCTGAACGTCAATTAGAGAGACATTACTGTAATTCGGAAAATAATCAATTTGAATAGAAATTAATTAATTTCTTCCATGTTAATTTTCCCAATTAACTTCTTTTTCAACTACTGCTTCGTAAAGTTTGTTACTTTTAGGTAGATTGATCACTAACACGTAACTAAATATAGTAATGTCTCCCTAACTGACGCTCACATTGTGCACAAAAATGGACAATTTGGAGGAGATACGATTATTCGAGCCTTGTAGCTCGTTTTTATAGTTGTTGACAATTCGTAACTATAAAAAGGAACCGCAAGGCTCGAATAATCGTATCTCCTCCTAATTGTCAATTTTTGTGGACAATCTGAGCGTCAATTAGAGAGACATTACTGTAATCTTTCTTCGGGTGCAAAGGAAGAAAACTATACGAAATAAGAGAGAAATCATTTCGAAAATACATCAGGTTCCGCCAATCCCAACATCTACAAGTAGAATCCACTTGTCCTGATCGAACACATCTCCCAATCCCTATTCGATTTTCACAAAAACGAACGCTCGAACGAAAAATCTCTGTTGAAAATTTCCAACTTACATTAATATTTCTCTAATTAACGCTCAGATTGTCCACAAAAATGGACAATTTAGGGAGAACAGAGACGATTATTCGATCCTTGCGGTTCATTTCTATAGTCACGAATTATCAACAACTATAAAAACGAGCTGCAAGGCGAAAGCAGTAGGTCGAAAAAGTACAGTAAATTCTCCCTAATTGACGCTCAAATTGTGCACAAAAATGGACAATTTGGGAAGAGGAGTGTTTTCGCTGTTTGTCAGCGAAACTATAAAAACGAACCGTAAAGCTCGAACGATCCGTACCTCCTCTTCCCAAATCGTCCATTTTTGTGCACAATCTGAGCGTCGGTTAGGGAGACATTACTGTATTTTCTCACTTGTACTTTTATTCGCAATCAAAATATTTTCTGCATGGAAAATACGAAAACCTACATTGACAGATGCTCGATCCGACCGAATCGTTTTAGCGAGGGGTAGTAGGAGGTATGTGTACGAAAGTAACGCAACCGTGGACGCGAGAGGGAAGGACGATCCGGAGAAAGAGAGACACGGGTGTGTTGTGTGTACCGCGGCGAGGGGTAAACGGCCTCGCAACAACCTAGACGTGCCTTGACCCACGGGAAAGAAAGAGAAAGAGAGGCAGAGAGATCGAGAAAGCAAAAGAAAAGGGAAATAAAGAGAGAGAGGAGAGAGAGAGAGAGAGGAGAGAGAGCGAGAGAGAGAGCAAGAGAGAGTGAGAGAGAGGAGAGAGAGAGCGAGAGAGAGAGAGAGAGAGAGAGGAGAGAGAGGAGAGAGCGGTGAGAGGCGCGCGTCGGAACCGACAGAGACGGAAGAGAGGACAGCAGGTAGAGAGAAAGAGAGAGGGCAGAAGGAGTTTAGAGAACAGGTGCGCGACCATTGACCGCCGGCTTTGGTTACCCACTGAATTATCATATAGGTAAGTTGCGTCGGCGATCGAGTGATTTAATCGCGCCGATTACCGACCAACCGTGAGGCTCGGGGGTGAGGTCAATTAAGATGGGTTACCGGATAATGATACGTTTAGGGGTGAGCACCGCGAACTTTGTGCCGCAGCCGGCTGCGATTGCACGGACGTGCGTCCCAGATTGTTACCCGGGATAATGTTCGGGAGCAGGGAACCGAATCCACTGGGTGAACCGCAAGTATCTTCATTTCAGATCTTTTTACGATTTCATGATTCCCTTCGAAAGCTCTGAGCTATTCTTCCACGCATGGTCGACGAAGTAAGAAAACACACCGACGCTCGTAGCACGATACATTTTAACGCTTTACGCGCCCCAGAAGAATTCAATTCTTCTTGATTCTCTTTTGAAGTTATGGTTACAAAGAAATATCCGTTTCGTTCTTAATTGGATAAATTATTTGTATTCGAGCAGCAACGTCTACCGAAATTGTTATCTCGAAGAAAATCGAGCTTCGCTTGCAATTCGGTGATTAAAAAGTTTATTAACGCTTTGACATCCGTGCCAACGAGCTCGACAAATTCGTACATCAAGTTAAAATTGAGAAGTTAAGGTTAATAGGACTTCCTTCCCAATTTTGCTACATCGAATATGAATAACACATTCTTGAATTTTTGTGTCCATTCGTTTCTCTCGGACATGCTTGAAATTAACAGTGTATTGATTGATCTTGAATGGCCTACTAGATTTATCAATTTAGTTTCTGATTCGCATCTGGAATAATCCAGACCATGAAGTTTCAGAAGTTACGTCTTCCTAGGATCTTGTGATCGATGAATCTCCGCAAAGCAAAGTCGCTCGGAAGTTCTGCAGCCAGAGAAATAATAAAAGTATAAACTAACTTGCAATGTTCTATTATCCATCGAACATAATGTTAGTTATATGTCCAACTTTCCAACCGCGGCGATCGATTCTCAAATTACCCAATGCTCCGAGCAAATGTCTGAACATTAAAAACGATATTGTTCATGTTCTTACCTTTCTAAACGCTATAGATTTATACAATGATATATAACTGTATTACCACACGCGCCAATCGATACTATAGAACTTAAGTTACCCGCTGTAATATTTCTGTGATCTTTCCGCGGTCGCTAGCGACCTTAGCTGATGATGCAATTTTGACAAGTCAGATTATATTTTAAATAAATAAAAAAAGAAATAAGAGCGAACTATCGATCAGCGTATACGTTCGCGAAGAACTGAAAACGGTCGGGTAGAAATTCAATGAACAAAAATGTAGAAGCGTTGTACGCGTGAAATCGAACAGCGTGAACTTCGGCACGTTGCCTTTCGAGTTCCGGAGATCGAACGAAACGTTCTCGTAAATTAGGGAACGCGACCGATGCGCTGATACATAAATTCCTTAGGCGGGCACACGAGCGTCGGAGCGCATGCGACATCACCGTAAATTATCGGAAATTTTATTAATTACCGCGGGCGTTATTATTCTGTATCGGTGTAAATTACTTCCTGCCGTGACTAATTGGCGGGCCCGGCAGCGGCGCACTTTGAAGCCGGATTCTTATATAAATTAAATAATTGAACGGGCAGCTGATAGGCGCCCGCGGCGAGTCGCCGCTTTTATCGGACGGACGTTCCTTCCCCGGCATGGGTTTCGCAAGAAAACTGAAACGTTCCGTGCCGATTTGCTGTGATCGGCGCGTTACAAATCGCTCCGGCTCCGGTTGATTATTGTAACCGATGCTTGTTTGATATTATCGACGGTACGTTATTAAGACTGATAGCAATTGCGTATCGGTACGTGTCTGGTGTCAATAGGTATTAATTACCTCGTGACTGATCACTTCCTTGATATTTCGTTCTGTTGCCGGCACCGTATAAATAGAATTTAGATTTCTTGCGCCTTTTCGAGCGTTCGCACGCATAAAAGACACTTCTGGCCAGAATAATCCCATAATCTCCCGCAATTATCGCATCCGCCAACTCGCGAAATACCAATGGCAACCTAACTCGTCTTCGATCAACAGGTCTTCGTTAGACTCTGCGAACTTTATGCAATTATGACTAAACCGAATAGGTCAAAACTGTAAAGACATTGCAAAAGTTGGTGGATATCGTTACGTTACCTTCAATTTGATACAATCATTAACACATTTTCATCCAACTTATATTTCTTACAATTAACTTAGACGATTTTTATTTCGTATGTTCCATTTTACAAGATCCGCGGAATAGTAATTATTATGAATAAAAATTGGTGTTCCATTTTTTTCTAGCATGAAATTAGTACAGGAGAATACTGAGCATTGTTTTACTGGAAATTACTATTCTCCTGAATCAGATTCGACTAATTAGAGCGACTAAAACGGTGTATTTCATCGCGTTTACACGATTCCTCGAGAATAAAACCATAACGAAACGTCTTCCTACGCTTCGCAAATGCAAGAAACGCATGGAGATCCTCGATCTGCGCGTCGCTCGTTAAGGTAACAATTAGATTTTCTTAGAAACGAGGAAAATGCACGATTGTTCTGTCGAACTTTTCACGTCGGATCGAAACTTTAAATCGAGTTGGTTGGCTCGGTTGCGCCAGGAACAAATCGTGGCGCAAACGCGCGTGCCTTTACCATCGGGAGAAACGATGTTTCCCGTACTCAAGCTATCTGTGTGGCATGTCCGATCATTTTCTCGGACGTATTGTTCCGGCGATGAGAAGGGTAAGTGGTTGTTCCGCGAAACGAAGCCAGTCGGCGGGCTTATCACCGTGGAAGAAATTACACGTTGATGCGGAACAGTAGCTAGCGTGCAGATAAGGAGGATCGCCGGCTAGTTCCAATGAAAGTGCAATTCAGACCGAGTGTGCTGGTATTAACAACGCCGCTTTTGCGCGTTCTTTCTGTCCGGTGATTTTTGTTGGTTTCCACGCTCTCGGCGAACCGGTTGCATCGACCCGACGGAACGGGAATAGAAAGAAAGGAAGAAAGCGGGATAGAAACACGGGCGAAAAAAAAAATATAGGAAATTCTGACGTCAGCGAGGAAATATATCGGGGAACTATAGGCTGGGGTACAATGAACGGGCGGGATAGGATGTACGGCGAGATTCGTATCGAAGCCACGAGCGTGATATTAATTCCAGCGGCTCGATGATTCCACCG